TACCACACCGTACGACACTGCACTACCACACTGCACCGTCAGCCACACCGCACTACCACACCGTACGACACTACACACTGCACTACCACACTACAGTGTGGTGCTGGCCATCCTTCCCCTCGTGTGTCACAGTGCCGGCCTTCAAAGGTGCTCCTCGCTAACAGCACTTGCCCCAACATTCTGCTAGTGGGGGAGCCGATCGCCGTGGAGCTGACCCCGAGTCCGAGCGCCGACGACATCACGCGGCTGCACGAGCGGTACCTGGAGCGGCTCACGGCGCTCTTCGAGAAGCACAAGGAGACCTACGGCGTGCCTGCTGACAAGCAGCTCACTTTCTTCTGAGCGCGGACACTCACCCACTCACTCACCCACTCACTCACCTGCTCACTCACCCACTCACTCACCCACTCACTCACCCACTCACTCACCCACTCACTCACCCGCTCACTCACCCACTCACTCACCTGCTCACTCACCCACTCACTCACCCACACACTCACCCACTCACTCACCCACTCACTCACCTGCTCACTCACCCACTCACTCACCCACTCACTCACCCACTCACTCACCTGCTCACTCACCCACTCACTCACCCACTCACTCACCCACTCACCCACTCACTCACCCACTCACTCACCTGCTCACTCACCTGCTCACTCACCCACTCACTCACCCGCTCACTCACCCGCTCACCCACTCACTCACCCACTCACTCACCCACTCACTCACCCACTCACTCACCTGCTCACTCACCCACTCACTCACCCACTCACTCACCTGCTCACTCACCCACTCACTCACCCGCTCACTCACCTGCTCACTCAGCCACTCACTCACCCACTCACTCACCTGCTCACTCACCCACTCACTCACCCACTCACTCACCCACTCACCCACTCACTCACCCACTCACTCACCTGCTCACTCACCTGCTCACTCACCCACTCACTCACCCGCTCACTCACCCGCTCACCCACTCACTCACCCACTCACTCACCCACTCACTCACCCACTCACTCACCTGCTCACTCACCCACTCACTCACCCGCTCACTCACCCGCTCACCCACTCACTCACCCACTCACTCACCTGCTCACTCACCTGCTCACTCACCCACTCACTCACTCACCCACTCACTCACCCACTCACTCACTCACCCACTCACCCACTCACCCACCCACTCACCCACTCACCGACTCACTCACTCACCCACCCACTAACCCACCCACCCACTCATTCACCCACTCACCCACTCACTCACCGACTCACTCATTCACCCACCCACTCACCCACTCACTCAGCCACTCACTTACCCACCCACGTACCCACTCGCTTGCTTGCTGGCTCGCTCACTCACCCACCCACTCGCTCACTCAGCCACTCACCAAGTCAGTTACTCACCCACTCACCCATTCAACTGCATACTCACTCACCAACTCACCCAGTTACCCACTCACTCATCCATGCACTCACCCTCTGAGCTGCCCACTCACTCACCCATTCAGCTGCCCACTCAATCATCCACTCGCCCATTCACCCTCTCACTCGCACGCTCGCTTACCCACTCGCGTAGACAAGGGAGCGGGGACCATTGCTGTATGGGGCGCGGTCACACATTATAGCCACGCCCTCACTCATCCCTTGCCGCGCAACTACTCGCTCGGACGTGGTCAAAGCAGTTGCTTGGCAAGATGAGTAAGTGGAGGGTGGTGGTGGTGGTGGTGGCAAGGAGCTCATATTGAGTAAACCCCACACGCTCTAAAACTATCAGCGCCGTGGTCACTTTCTGTGATGGTTTCTCTACACGAACGAGGATCTCGCCATGCATCTCCACGTGAAACATTGTCACTCAGCTGTCCCTGTGTGTCACGTGGTGAATCAGCTATCCCTGTGTGTCACGTGATGACCCACAGAGACCCATAGAGACCCATACTCATCGAGACCCATACTAAAACTAAACTACAGTATTTTTCAGAAGCGACCTGGCCATTACAGATGATAGCTGCTCAACGAATTGGATTATCATCATCATCGTGCACGTGAAAATGTACAGCAGTAGCCAACTACTCTCAATGCGTGATGTTCGATTCTAAATATGGAGGGGAAAAACCGGAGGACCCGGAGAAAAATATACGCGACCACGGGGAACATGCGAACTCCATTATATACAGCAGCAGCAGGCGTCGTCAGGATCCGGATGGAACCCTCGACCTCCTGCGCACCAGGCGAGCTAGTCGACATCTCTCTAGACACCGTGGCGCCCGAAGTGCTGCGCTTGTAAATCATTTCGGTATCATCGACCGGATGGTAGCCCCGGTTGGGATGCGAATGGTGATTTGTTAATTACGAGCAGTAGAGGACAATAAAGATTAGCAGAGAGTAGCTTGGATCGAGTTCTTTTTGTTGTGTGCCGAAACTCCGCGTTTTCAATAAAATCTCACGATCATCCAAACGGTTGTACGGCCTGTCTGCCGGCACGTGATGACGCTCGGTCGCGCGCGACTCGGTCCGCCGGTGCTGCCATCCCCTCGAACCCCTCCATGAACGCACGCACACCCCCAATAAAACACACTCACCCACTCACTCGCCCACTCACCCACTCACTCACCCACTCACTCACTAAAACACACGCACGCACCCACGTAGGGTCTCGTGGGGGGGTCACCTGGTGCCATGGGTTTTTAACTGCCGAGGGGCCCCTAGTGGGGATGTCCCACTGGTTTCCCAGTACCAGGAGATTGACCGACCCCCCCCAAGCACAGGGGGATAGGGCCTCGAGGGCATGAGGGGAGGTGGGAGGGACATTCCTGGAGCCACTGAAGCTGTGGAACCGCGGGACGGCCACCACGACCAAACGGGTTGTGGCCGGGGTGGCTGAGGACGGGTGTGTAGACAATGGGTGAAGGCGCTCCGGAGGAACGGCTCCAGGCAAGGGCGGGGCATCGGTTTAAAATCTAAAGGTCGGCGCCCGATTGGCCGGGCAGGACAACACCACGTGACCCTGGATCTTTGGATTCCGAGGGGATAAAAGGAGGGGGCGGAGAAACGTTGAGCAGTTCTCCTCCAGCCGTCCAGCTGCCCGGTCCGACTCCCACCGCGTCCGTGCGACCCCGCGAGTACGTCTGCAGGGTGAGACGTCGAGGGAGGGTACACTCAGGGATTGACTAGGGGTAGACTCGGCGCTGCTCGTTGGGTATCTACTCTGGACCGCACAGGGCTCGCTATAGACGCGCCATCAATACACTTTAGCACAGAGCACCGGCGCCGCGTGGTTTCTGTGTGTGTCGGCGTGGTTTCTGTGTGTGTCGGCGTGGTGCGTAATTCGAGCGAGTGTATGTGTGGGAAGCACGCGGGCAGTAATTCTATTAACGGCGCATTCTACGCAGTGTGTTCACGTAGCGACGTTGGCATATGACGTTTACGGCCGCCATTGTGTCCGCGTGCTCACGCTCCAGCAGTGGATGAAGGCCGACCCCCAGGAGGGGGGAGGGGCACGTGGCGGGCGCCGTGCGCCTGCGCGTGCACGCGGCCACCTCGGCGTGAGTGCTGGTGGTGGTGCACTTGGGGCGTGCGAGTGGGTTCACTCCGGGCGGTGGGGAGCTAGCCACGAGCCGTGTCCCTCAGAGAGGGCGCTGGTGCGGGGGGGGGGGGGGTCACCCGATCGGCGGGGGCCCAGCGAGGAGTGGCCGAGCAGGAGGGGGGCGAGGAGGAGGGGGGCGTCAGCCCCCCCTCATGCAATGCTTGCAACTCGGTCACAGGGCAACTCAGTCGCATGCAACGAAGTCATCTCCATATATATGTAGTAGGTTCAAGGAGACTTGGACGACGTAGTCGGAGGAACACTTATTTATTGAACTTCAGTTGTATATACAGGCCGAGATATACAACACTCGAAGGCGTATCGGCCCCTTCCTCCATCTAACAGGGAGATCCCACAATCTCTGTCCTGGCTAGCCTACTCCCAGGTCCTCCACTACAGAGCTAGGGGAGGCTAGCTGACCCAGCTCTGGCCAAGCTGGGATTACGGCACCCTGAGTCCCCAGACCGGCTCTTACAAGAATATCGGCTCTGGGCTCTCGGGACCACGCCGCTGGCTTGCCCTGGTCGGTCCTTAGAAGGACGGCGATCCAGGGGAGTCCCAGGGCCTATCTAGCCGGTCTTCCTTGCTTCACTGGTTTAAGCTAAACACTGAACCCCGAGCCCACCGGCTCACCGCCTTATATAGCAACTCCCCCACCGAGGGGTGGGGCCGTGGGGGATCCCAGCGCCGTTTCAGCCCCCCAGGCTAAACGGTGCGGACGTGGATGTAAGCATCCTTCCGCGTGCGGGCATAACCACCCCTGGTGTGTTTGTTCGCCCTCCCGTAACACCGCTACATATATACAAGGCAAATTTGTGATTATGTGTGTCTGTTCAAAATGTTTAGCGTACTTCCCGACATGCAACAAAGTTTAAATTTGTCATGTGGGTACTTTCCAGACTGTACACCATTAAACAATTATAAAAATACACTTTCTGTTTTTTTTTGGGGGGGGGGGGGGGGGGAGCTCAATAATGCATTTTTTCTTGCACAGCAAGTGAGCTGTGACGTCACATCTGTCACGTGACCCGCGCATGTGGAAGCGTCACGCATTGTAGTGTAGCGGGTAGCGCCACGCTGCGCTACGAACCCGGCGACCCGAGTTCCACTCCCGCTCACGGCCACCGCCGGTGACGATTATTTGAACCGGTCCTGGGCCTCCCCTAGGTCGACTCAGCCTCAAACGAGTAAGTCGTGTGGTGTGTCAACATCGCCACCGGGGAGACAAAGGCGGCCGGCCGTGGTGAATCCAAGTCCCGGGCGAAGCCGCGTAGTAGCGCAGCTGGTTGGTGACGACGTGGGTGCCGTGGGTGACGTGGGTGCCGTGGGCGACGTGGGTGACGTGGGTGCCGTGGGTGACGTGGGTGCCGTGGGTGACGTGGGTGACGTGGGCGACGTGGGTGCCGTGGGTGACGTGGGTGCCGTGGGTGACGTGGGTGACGTGGGCGACGTGGGTGACGTGGGCGACGTGGGTGACGTGGGCGACGTGGGTGACGTGGGCGACGTGGGTGCCGTGGGTGACGTGGGCGACGTGGGCGACGTGGGCGACGTGGGTGACGCTGCGCCCAGTTGCGACCAGGCGCCCAGATGGTTGCTGCCAGTGGAGGCCGCAGCGATCGTCAACGACGTCCCTCGAAGGCAGAGATCCCCCGTGCAGCCTCTAAGGGGCCGTCCATAAATGACGTCACGTGCCTAGGGGGGGGGGGGGGGGGTTAGACATGTGTGACGATGTGTGACGAGGGGGGGGTTTGAGAAATGTGACGTCACGTAAAAATGCGCAACTTTAAATAAATATAGACAACACGTTCTAATTAATTAAATAGACTTTTAATACATGTTTTCTCATATTCTTGGTTCTTTCGGTAAAGTCACGTAGAAGGGAAATAATAAAATAGTAAAAATATCAAACAATTAAAATTCTCACGACGTTTCGACTGCAACACAAGCAATCATCATCAGGCGTGAAACCCGCAGCAAGAAAATTTAAAAAAATGATTTTCTCCTACAACATCAGAGTGCAGCGCCACATTAAATACGCACCACAATGACAACAATAGTTTATAGCGATTTGAAGCATGTTTCATTTTCAAAATGGAAATATGGTTTTTGGGGGGGGGGCAGAGCTTTGTGACGTCATATTTGAGGGGGGGGTCTGATTTTTTACGACGCCGTCTGACGAAGGGGGGGGGGTCAAAAATCGTCCAAACTCGCGTGACGTCATTTATGGACGTCCCCTTAAAGACAAAGATCCCCCGTGTAGCCTCTGACTGCAGGGGCAAGTGCTGTGAGTAGCGAGTAGCAGCAGCACCTATGAAGGTAGACACAGACAAAGCTCCCCCGTGTAGCCTCTAACAGATGCAGGGGCAAGTGCTGTCAGCAGCACCTGTGAAGGCTACCGGCACGCGGCACACGAGGGGTGGGTGGCCAGCACCACGCCCGGCCGCCTTTGTCTCCCCAGTGGCGATGTTTACTGCACAACGTACCAGGTACTCATTTGAGGCTGAGCCGACCTAGGGGAGGCCCAGGACCGGTTCAGATTTCCTTATTCAATAGGAATCGATTAATCAGCGACTCCAATAAATCGATTAATCGACGATTCAGTATGAAGCGATGAATCGGCGAACAACATGAAGCGATAATCGGCGCTCCAATAGGAATCGATTAATCAGCGAATCGATAGGAATCGAACTTCTCGTCTCGCAGTCGAGAGAATCGAGTCGCGCGGTTCGTACGCGGCGATCGATTTCCGCCCGCGCGCTGTCGGGGATCGATTCGCGCGCGCGCCACGTGGGAATCGATTACCATCGATTAGTGGGGGAGCGTTTGGTCGCCCGATTACGGAATCGAATCGAGACGCGCGATTGCATCGACGCACTAGCTTTTGTGATTTTGGAATCGATAATCTTCCAGCCACGAGTTCAGCGCAGTGAAGAAGGGGCATGGCCCGAAACGTCGCCTCGTGGCATCCGCCTCGTGCATGGGCACTGAGCGCGGAGCGCGTGGAGGAGTTCCTTTCTGTGCAGCTGCAGCACGCTGCACGAAGCGACCCGCGGGGAATCGAAAACCTGAGCAGAGTATAGGACTTTGGAATCGACGAATCGATGCGCGAGTCATTTGCATAAACTACGGAAGTTCCGGGGAGCGCGCTCGGCTCGCTCCACGTGCGGAGAGAGAGCGGGGAGAGTGCAGAGAGAGTGAGGGGAGAGCGTGAGGGGAGAGTGTGGGGAGAGTGGAGAGAGAGCGAAGAGAGAGTGCAGAGAGAGTGAGGGGAGAGTGTGGGGAGAGTGGAGAGAGAGCGAAGAGAGAGTGCAGAGAGAGTGAGGGGAGAGCGTGAGGGGAGAGTGTGGGGAGAGTGGAGAGAGAGCGAAGAGAGAGTGCAGAGAGAGTGAGGGGAGAGTGTGGGGAGAGCGTGAGGGGAGAGTGAAGAGAGAGCGGGGAGAGAGCGGGAGAGAGCGGGGAGAGAGCGGGGAGAGAGCGGGGAGAGCGTGAGGGGAGAGTGTGGGGAGAGCGGAGAGAGAGCGAAGAGAGAGTGCAGAGAGAGTGAGGGGAGAGTGTGGGGAGAGCGTGAGGGGAGAGTGAAGAGAGAGCGGGGAGAGAGCGGGAGAGAGCGGGGAGAGAGCGGGGAGAGCGTGAGGGGAGAGTGTGGGGAGAGTGGAGAGAGAGCGAAGAGAGAGTGCAGAGAGAGTGAGGGGAGAGTGTGGGGAGAGCGTGAGGGGAGAGTGAAGAGAGAGCGGGGAGAGAGCGGGGAGAGTGCGGGGAGAGTGCGGGGAGAGTGCGGGGAGAGTGTGGGGAGAGTGTGGGGAGAGGGGAGAGAGAGCGAAGAGAGAGCGCGGAGAGAGTGAGGGGAGAGTGTGGGGAGAGCGTGAGGGGAGAGCGAAGAGAGAGCGGGGAGAGTGGGGAGAGAGCGTGAGGGGAGAGTGGGGAGAGAGCGGAGAGAGAGCGAAGAGAGAGTGCAGAGAGAGTGAGGGGAGAGTGTGGGGAGAGCGTGAGGGGAGAGCGAAGAGAGAGCGGGGAGAGCGGGGAGAGAGCGGGGAGAGTGGGGAGAGAGCGTGAGGGGAGAGTGGGGAGAGAGCGGAGAGAGAGCGGGGGGAGTGCAGAGGGAGTGAGGGGAGAGCGGAGAGTGCAGAGAGAGTGAGGGGAGAGTGGGGAGAGTGGGGAGAGTGGAGAGAGAGCGAAGAGAGAGTGGGGAGAGAGCGGGGAGAGAGAGGGGAGTGTGAGGGGAGAGCGAAGAGAGAGTGGGGAGAGTGAAGAGAGAGCGGGGAGAGAGAGTGGAGAGAGCGGGGAGATTGAGGGGAGAGTGAGGAGTGAGGGGAGAGTGAGGGGAGAGTGGGGAGAGTGAAGAGAGAGCGAAGAGAGAGAGGGGAGAGCGGAGAGAGTGTGAGGAGAGTGTGAGGGGAGTGCGGAGAGAGTGTGAGGGGAGTGTGAGGGGAGAGCGGGGATAGAGCGAAGAGAGAGAGCAGGGAGAGCGGGGAGAGAGCGTGAGGGGAGAGCGAAGAGAGAGAGAGCGAAGGGAGAGAGCGTGAGGGGGGCGAGTGAGGGGAGTGTGAGGGGCTGGAGCCGTCCGAGGGGTTTCGGCCTCGTGGCGGAATGCGCCGCGCGGTGCCCGGGACGCGGCGCGGGGCGCGAGGGGAGCCGCGTAAGTCACCCGCAGTCCCAACACTCCTAGCGAAACACTCCTAGTGAAACACTCCTAGCGAAACACTCCCAGCCCAACACTCCTAGTGAAACACTCCTAGTGAAACACTCCTAGTGAAACACTCCTAGTGAAACACTCCCAGCCCAACACTCCTAGTGAAACACTCCTAGTGAAACACTCCTAGTGAAACACTCCTAGCGAAACACTCCCAGCCCAACACTCCTAGTGAAACACTCCTAGTGAAACACTCCTAGTGAAACACTCCTAGTGAAACACTCCCAGCCCAACACTCCTAGTGAAACACCCCTAGTGAAACACTCCCAGCCCAACACTCCTAGTGAAACACTCTTAGTGAAACACTCCTAGTGAAACACTCCCAGCCCAACACTCCTAGTGAAACACTCCCAGCCCAACACTCCTAGTGAAATACTCCTAGTGAAACACTCCTAGTGCAGCACTCCCAGTGAAACACTCCCAGCCCAACACTCCTAGTGAAACACTCCCAGCCCAACACTCCTAGTGAAACACTCCCAGCCCAACACTCCTAGTGAAACACTCCTAGTGCAGCACTCCCAGCCCAACACTCCTAGTGAAACACTCCTAGCCAACACTCCTAGTGAAACACTCCTAGCCCAACAATCCTAGTGAAACACTCCTAGTGCAGCACTGAACCCTGTGGGAGCCTCAGAGTCTAACACCGAGCCCTATAGGAGCCGTAGTCTTGCTCTGTGAGCCTCTGTGATGAAGAGATGCTCGCTAACCCTGGACACTGTTTTGCTGCAGTGAGTTCCCGCCATGGGAATGTGGACAGCTCAGAAGAGGACGACTCAAGCTCCGAGAGTGAGGAGGAGAATGTGGTAAGAGCTTTGTTGGGATTTCTGTTGGAGTAGACCTGTAGCATGGCGAATCCCACTGCTTGAATGCATCAGGGTGGGTGAGTGGGTGATAGGGTGGGTGGGTGAGCAAGTGAGTGGGCGGATGAGTGGTTGAGTGAGTGATTGGATACGTGTGTGGGTGAATGGGTGAGTGGGTGTAGGCATTGGTGAGTGAGCTACTGAGTGGGTGAGTGAGTGATTGGGTAAGTGTGTGGGTGAATGGGTGAGTGGGTGGAGGCATTGGTTAGTGGGTGGATGAGTGGGTGAGTGAGTGATTGGATACGTGTGTGGGTGAATGGGTGAGTGGGTGTAGGCATTGGTGAGTGAGCTACTGAGTGGGTGAGTGAGTGATTGGGTAAGTGTGTGGGTGAATGGGTGAGTGGGTGGAGGCATTGGTTAGTGGGTGGATGAGTGGGTGAGTGAGTGATTGGGTGTGTGGGTGAATGGGTGAGTGGGTGGAGGCATTGGTGAGTGGGTGGATGAGTGGGTGAGTGGGTGAGTGAGTGATTGGGTAAGTGTGTGGGTGAATGGGTGAGTGGGTGGAGGCATTGGGGAGTGGGTGGATGAGTGGGTGAGTGAGCTACTGAGTGGGTGAGTGAGTGATTGGGTAAGTGTGTGGGTGAATGGGTAAGTGTGTGGGTGAATGGGTAAGTGGGTGTAGGCATTGGTGAGTGGGTGGGTGAGTCATTGGGTTAGTGAGCTGGGTGAGTGGGTGATTTAGTGAGTTGGTTGGTGTGTGAGTGGTCGATTGAGGTGAGTGAGTGGTTGCGATAGTGAGTGGGTGAGTCGGTAAGTGAGTGGTTGATTTCATGAGTGGGTGAGCGAGAGGGTGGGTGAGCGATTGGGTAGGTGAGCGAGTGAGTCATTGGGTGGGCGAGTTAGTGGGTGGGTGAGCGGGTAGGTGAGCGGATGAGTCAGTGAGTAAGTCGTTGATTGAGTGAGAGGGTGGGTGAGCGAGTGGGTGGACGTGTGGTTGAGTGCGAGTGGGCGAGCGAGCTGGGGAGTGGCTGGGTGATCGAGTGGATGAGTGGGTGGCTGAGTGAGTCTCCCTCTGCCCTAGGTTTTCTCACCCAAGGTGGAGCGGCAGTTTTACCGAACGCTGTCGCTGCTGAAGAAGCGAGACCCCCGAGTCTACGAGCAGAGCGAGCGCTTCTACGATGATGAGGCGGAGGATGAGGGTGAGTAGAGTCTGCGTGCACGTGCGTGTGCACCCAAACTAAAACTCGACCACCGTTGAAACTAGTTAGTTTGTTTACACGCTTTTAGTTAACTCACTTTGTTGTTGTTGTCGTATCCTCAAATCTTGTAACTCAAGTTTAACCCACTTCCCAATGTGCTATCGACTGCAAACTTCGTATAGTTATGTCTTACTGATGACAATACTATATTATATCATTAAAAATATATTTTTAAATAATCTTTTTGCACACTTTCTATTAACGCGCTCTGTCTGTTGTTGTTGTCGTATCCTCAAATATTGTAACTAATTTTTTACCCACTTCTCAATGTGCTATCGACTGCAAACTTGGTATATTTATGTCATACTGATGACAATACTATATTCTATCATTAAAAATAAATATAATATTTTTAAACATGATTGTAATATATATGTTATGTTTCGGCTTGGCTCTAATTGTCCACGGTAAACTGACGTTGGCTGTAATTGACCACGGCGCCTTACGTGATGGCAAGCTTCGGGGCCACTTCCTGGAGTCGTGGAGTTCTGCCATTACTCGTGCGGTACGGTTCATTAAAGCGAGTTTAACAAAAAGTATGTTTAAATATTACTTATTACCAGGCAAGTCCCCACTGAGCTACGTAGCTCTTTCTCAGAAGCGACGTGGCCATCACAAATGACAGCAGCTCAACGAATTGGCGGCGTATTATGATCATCATCGCGTGGAAATTTATATCAGCAGCCAAATATTCTTGAACTCGTGGCGATGTTGATTTTAAATGTGGAGGGGAAAACCAGAGGACCCGGAAGACAATTCACACGACCTCTGGGCGGGAGAGAGAGAGAGAGAGACTCCACACCGCAAACTCCAAATACGCAACAGGTGTCAGGGTTGGGATCGAGCCCACGACCTCCTGTAGACCAGGCGAGGTAGTTAACATCTCATAGCCACCGTGATGATGATGATGAGAGAGAGACACGCAGACTCCAAATATACAGCAGCAGGCGTCAGGGTCGGGATCGAGCCCACGACCCCCTGCGTACCAGGCGAGGTAGTGAACATCTCCTAGCCACCGTGGCGAGATGTTTGGAGTGGCGGCGCAGCGGTTCGGGTGCCGGGCAATGAACCCGGCAGACACCCGAGTTCGATTCCCACTCACGGCCACCACCAAAACGAGCACTTGCTCCCAACAGTGTTGGAGGCTACACGCTTGACCTTTGTCTTTGTGTGAGCATTACCATTAGGACTTCGATCCGTTGTCGATGTTCTGGGTTAGGCCATGTGACAATGACCTGGCCACATTTGTGTCGCAAGACCTCCACCACCGCACACAGCCATGCAAGTTGCATTGCCACGCAGCGCACTCGGCGTTTAAACGGCTCGGTGAGGGTGAAAGTTCAACTCACCCGGTGAGAAGGAGAGAAACTCCCAGATGTATTAGTGCACAAATCCTCACCCATTCAACCATCCACTCACCCAATCACTCAACCACTCACACACGCAAAAATTCACTCGCCCACTCGACCATCCACTCACCTTTTTAACACATAGGCTTTCACGACCAATATTCATAATATAGGTTTTTGGGTCAGATCGCGTTATTTATAAATGTGTCGTAACCCTCCACCACCCGACACGGCCAAACAGTAGAAAATGTGTCCGTTTTCAAAGGACAAATTGATTGACTTCTTTAGCCCACCGGCGTGCTGAAGAGAGAATCAACAGCATTTTAAAATTTGAGTAGTACGACGTTCCGCTGATAATTACAATCAGCTTCATCGGGCAAGAACACACAATCACTCACTAGTACAACCACTCGCCCTCTCACTCAACCACTCGCCCACTCAAATACTCACCCACTCACACACCCACTCACCCATTCACTCATCCACTCACCCATTTAACTACCCACGCACACAATCATCCATTCACTCACCCACTCGCACAGTCTCCCACTCAACCACTCACTGTTGTGTGTGTGTGTGTGCGTACCTGTGTGTGCGTGTCTGTGTGTGCGTGCGTTGCAGACAATGACACGAAGGCCGATACCGCAGAGAGGAACTCCAAGCGTGCAGAGCGAACTCCCCTGTACATCCATGACTACGAGAGGAAAATCATCCTGGAGCAACAAGGGTGAGTCGTTTATTTAACCCGGCGAGAGCCTCCAACTAAGATTCACTGCCTCTAGCGACTGACTCCTTTATTTAGCCAGGAGATACCCACTAAGATTCACTCTCTCTAGCGACTGACTCCTTTATTTAGCCAGGAGATACCCCACTAAGATTCACTCTCTCTAGAGACTGACTCCTTTATTTAGCCAGAAGATACCCCACTAAGATTCACTCTCTCTAGAGACTGACTCCTTTATTTAGCCAGGAGATAGCCCACTAAGATTCACTGTCTCTAGAGACTGACTCCTTTATTTAGCCAGAAGATACCCCACTAAGATTCACTCTTTCTAGAGACTGACTCCTTTATTTAGCCAGGAGATACCCCACTAAGATTCACTGTCTCTAGCGACTGACTCCTTTATTTAGCCAGGAGATACCCACTAAGATTCACTCTCTCTAGAGACTGACTCCTTTATTTAGCCAGGAGATACCCACTAAGATTCACTCTCTCTAGAGACTGACTCCTTTATTTAGCCAGGAGATACCCCACTAAGATTCACTCTCTCTAGAGACTGACTCCTTTATTTAGCCAGGAGATACCCCACTAAGATTCACTCTCTCTAGAGACTGACTCCTTTATTTAGCCAGGAGATAGCCCACTAAGATTCACTGTCTCTAGAGACTGACTCCTTTATTTAGCCAGAAGATACCCCACTAAGATTCACTCTCTCTAGAGACTGACTCCTTTATTTAGCCAGGAGATACCCACTAAGATTCACTCTCTCTAGAGACTGACTCCTTTATTTAGCCAGGGGATACCCACTAAGATTCACTCTCTCTAGAGACTGACTCCTTTATTTAGCCAGGAGATACCCCACTAAGATTCACTTTCTCTAGAGACTGACTCCTTTATTTAGCCAGGAGATACCCCACTAAGATTCACTCTCTCTAGAGACTGACTCCTTTATTTAGCCAGGAGATACCCCACTAAGATTCACTGTCTCTAGAGACTGACTCCTTTATTTAGCCAGAAGATACCCCACTAAGATTCACTGTCTCTAGAGACTGACTCCTTTATTTAGCCAGAAGATACTCCACTAAGATTCACTCTCTCTAGAGACTGACTCCTTTATTTAGCCAGGAGATACCACACTAAGATTCACTCTCTCTAGAGACTGACTCCTTTATTTAGCCAGGAGATACCCCACTAAGATTCACTGTCTCTAGAGACTGACTCCTTTATTTAGCCAGAAGATACTCCACTAAGATTCACTCTCTCTAGAGACTGACTCCTTTATTTAGCCAGGAGATACCCCACTAAGATTCACTCTCTCTAGAGACTGACTCCTTTATTTAGCCAGGAGATACCCCACTAAGATTCACTGTCTCTAGAGACTGACTCCTTTATTTAGCCAGAAGATACCCCACTAAGATTCACTGTCTCTAGAGACTGACTCCTTTATTTAGCCAGGAGATAGCCCACTAAGATTCACTGTCTCTAGAGACTGACTCCTTTATTTAGCCAGAAGATACCCCACTAAGATTCACTCTTTCTAGAGACTGACTCCTTTATTTAGCCAGGAGATACCCCACTAAGATTCACTGTCTCTAGCGACTCCTTTATTTAGCCAGGAGATAGCCCACTAAGATTCACTGTCTCTAGAGACTGACTCCTTTATTTAGCCAGAAGATACCCCACTAAGATTCACTCTTTCTAGAGACTGACTCCTTTATTTAGCCAGGAGATACCCCACTAAGATTCACTGTCTCTAGAGACTGACTCCTTTATTTAGCCAGGAGATACCCACTAAGATTCACTGTTGATCTTGTTGGCGATGTTTAATGAACGGGGTTTGTCGTCTCAGGAAATACAAAGACGAAGAAGATGAGGATGACGATGCTGATGAAGTCATGAAGCAGGTAACGGGGTGAATCACGATGGCCGTGTCATTGTGTTCATCATGGCCGTGTCACTGTGTTCATCATGGCCGTGTCGTTGTGTTCACGATGGCCGTGTCACTGTGTTCATCAATGGCCGTGTCACTGTTCATCATGCCGTGTCACTGTGTTCATCATGGCCGTGTCATTGTGTTCATCATGCCGTGTCACTGTGTTCATCATGGCCGTGTCATTGTGTTCATCATGGCCGTGTCACTGTGTTCATCATGGCCGTGTCACTGTGTTCACGATGGCCGTGTCACTGTGTTCACGATGGCCGTGTCATTGTGTTCACGATGGCCGTGTCACTGTGTTCATCATGGCCGTGTCACTGTGTTCACAATGGCCGTGTCATTGTGTTCATCATGGCCGTGTCATTGTGTTCATCATGGCCGTGTCACTGTGTTCATCATGGCCGTGTCACTGTGTTCACGATGGCCGTGTCATTGTGTTCATCATGGCCGTGTCACTGTGTTCATCATGGCCGTGTCACTGTGTTCATCATGGCCGTGTCACTGTGTTCATCATGGCCGTGTCGTTGTGTTCATCATGGCCGTGTCACTGTGTTCATCATGGCCGTGTCACCGTGTTCATGATGGCCGTGTCATTGTGTTCATCATGGCCGTGTCATTGTGTTCATCATGGCCGTGTCACTGTGTTCATCATGTCGTGTCACTGTGTTCATCATGGCCGTGTCACTGTGTTCATCATGGTCGTGTCACTGTGTTCATCATGGCCGTGTCGCTGTGTTCATCATGGCCGTGTCACTGTGTTCATCATGGCCGTGTCACTGTGTTCATCATGGCCGTGTCACTGTGTTCATCATGGCCGTGTCGTTGTGTTCATCATGGCCGTGTCACTGTGTTCATCATGGCCGTGTCACTGTGTTCATCATGGCCGTGTCACTGTGTTCACAATGGCCGTGTCACTGTGTTCATCATGGCCGTGTCACTGTGTTCATGATGGCTGTGTCACTGTGTTCATGATGGCCGTGTCACTGTGTTCATGATGGCTGTGTCATTGTGTTCATCATGGCCGTGTCATTGTGTTCACGATGGCCGTGTCACTGTGTTCACGATGGCCGTGTCACTGTGTTCACGATGGCCGTGTCATTGTGTTCATCATGCCGTGTCACTGTGTTCACGATGGCCGTGTCATTGTGTTCATCATGCCGTGTCACTGTGTTCATCATGGCCGTGTCATTGTGTTCATCATGGCCGTGTCACTGTGTTCATCATGGCCGTGTCACTGTGTTCATCATGGCCGTGTCACTGTGTTCATCATGGTCGTGTCATTGTGTTCATCATGGCCGTGTCACTGTGTTCACGATGGCCGTGTCACTGTGTTCATCATGGCCGTGTCACTGTGTTCATCATGGTCGTGTCACTGTGTTCATCATGGCCGTGTCACTGTGTTCATCATGGCCGTGTCACTGTGTTCATCATGGCCGTGTCACTGTGTTCATCATGGCCGTGTCACTGTGTTCATCATGGCCGTGTCACTGTGTTCATCATGGTCGTGTCACTGTGTTCATCATGGTCGTGTCACTGTGTTCATCATGGCCGTGTCACTGTGTTCATCATGGCCGTGTCATTGTGTTCATCATGGCCGTGTCACTGTGTTCATCATGGCCGTGTCATTGTGTTCACGATGGCCGTGTCACTGTGTTCATCATGGCCGTGTCACTGTGTTCATCATGGCCGTGTCACTGTGTTCATCATGGCCGTGTAGTTGTGTTCATCATGCCGTGTCGTTGTGTTCATCATGGCCGTGTCACTGTGTTCATCATGGCCGTGTCACTGTGTTCACGATGGCCGTGTCATTGTGTTCATCATGGCCGTGTCACTGTGTTCATCATGGCCGTGTCACTGTGTTCATCATGGCCGTGTCACTGTGTTCATCATGGCCGTGTCGTTGTGTTCATCATGGCCGTGTCACTGTGTTCATCATGGCCGTGTCACCGTGTTCATCATGGCCGTGTCATTGTGTTCATCATGGCCGTGTCACTGTGTTCATCATGTCGTGTCACTGTGTTCATCATGGCCGTGTCACTGTGTTCATCATGGTCGTGTCATTGTGTTCATCATGGCCGTGTCACTGTGTTCACGATGGCCGTGTCACTGTGTTCATCATGGCCGTGTCACTGTGTTCATCATGGTCGTGTCACTGTGTTCATCATGGCCGTGTCACTGTGTTCATCATGGCCGTGTCACTGTGTTCATCATGGCCGTGTCACTGTGTTCATCATGGCCGTGTCACTGTGTTCATCATGGCCGTGTCACTGTGTTCATCATGGCCGTGTCACTGTGTTCATCATGGCCGTGTCACTGTGTTCATCATGGTCGTGTCACTGTGTTCATCATGGTCGTGTCACTGTGTTCATCATGGCCGTGTTACTGTGTTCATCATGGCCGTGTCATTGTGTTCATCATGGCCGTGTCACTGTGTTCATCATGGCCGTGTCATTGTGTTCACGATGGCCGTGTCACTGTGTTCATCATGGCCGTGTCACTATGTTCATCATGGCCGTGTCACTGTGTTCATCATGGCCGTGTCACTGTGTTCATCATGTCGTGTCACTGTGTTCATCATGGCCGTGTCACTGTGTTCATCATGGCCGTGTCACTGTGTTCATCATGGCCGTGTCACTGTGTTCATCATGGCCGTGTCACTGTGTTCATCATGGCCGTGTCACTGTGTTCATCATGGTCGTGTCACTGTGTTCATCATGGTCGTGTCACTGTGTTCATCATGGCCGTGTTACTGTGTTCATCATGGCCGTGTCATTGTGTTCATCATGGCCGTGTCACTGTGTTCATCATGGCCGTGTCATTGTGTTCACGATGGCCGTGTCACTGTGTTCATCATGGCCGTGTCACTATGTTCATCATGGCCGTGTCACTGTGTTCATCATGGCCGTGTCACTGTGTTCATCATGGCCGTGTCATTGTGTCCATCATGGCCGTGTCACTGTGTTCATCATGGCCGTGTCATTGTGTTCACGATTGCCGTGTCACTGTGTTCATCATGGCCGTGTCACTATGTTCATCATGGCCGTGTCACTGTGTTCATGATGGCCGTGTCACTGTGTTCATCATGGCCGTGTCACTATGTTCATCATGGCCGTGTCATTGTGTTCACGATGGCCGTGTCACTGTGTTCATCATGGCCGTGTCACTATGTTCATCATGGCCGTGTCACTGTGTTCATCATGGCCGTGTCACTGTGTTCACGATGGCCGTGTCACTGTGTTCACGATGGCCGTGTCGTTGTGTTCATCATGGCCGTGTCACTGTGTTCATCATGGCCGTGTCACTGTGTTCACAATGGCCGTGTCACTGTTCATCATGGCCGTGTCACTGTGTTCACAATGGCCGTGTCACTGTGTTCATCATGGCCGTGTCATTGTGTTCATCATGGCCGTGTCACTGTGTTCACAATGGCCGTGTCACTGTGTTCATCATGGCCGTGTCACTGTGTTCATGATGGCCGTGTCACTATGTTCATCATGGCCGTGTCACTGTGTTCACGATGGCCGTGTCACTGTGTTCACGATGGCCGTGTCACTGTGTTCACAATGGCCGTGTCACTGTGTTCATCATGGCCGTGTCATTGTGTTCATCATGGCCGTGTCACTGTGTTCATCATGGCCGTGTCGCTGTGTTCATCATGGCCGTGTCACTGTGTTCACGATGGCCGTGTCGCTGTGTTCATCATGACTGTGTCACTGTGTTCACGATGGCCGTGTCGTTGTGTTCAGCATGGCTGTGTCACTGTGTTCATCATGGCCGTGTCACTGTGTTCACGATGGTCGTGTCACTGTGTTCACGATGGCCGTGTCATTGTGTTCATCATGGCCGTGTCACTGTGTTCATCATGCCGTGTCGTTGTGTTCATCATGGCCGTGTCACTGTGTTCACGATGGCCGTGTCACTGTGTTCATCATGCCGTGTCACTGTGTTCATCATGGCCGTGTCACTGTGTTCACGATGGCCGTGTCATTGTGTTCATCATGGCCGTGTCACTGTGTTCATCATGGCCGTGTCACTGTGTTCATCATGGCCGTGTCACTGTGTTCATCATGCCGTGTCACTGTGTTCATCATGGCCGTGTCATTGTGTTCATCATGGCCGTGTCACTGTGTTCATCATGGCCGTGTCGCTGTGTTCACGATGGCCGTGTCACTGTGTTCACGATGGCCGTGTCATTGTGTTCATCATGGCCGTGTCACTGTGTTCATCATGGCCGTGTCACTGTGTTCATCATGGCCGTGTCACTGTGTTCATCATGCCGTGTCACTGTGTTCATCATGGCCGTGTCACTGTGTTCACGATGGCCGTGTCATTGTGTTCATCATGGCCGTGTCACTGTGTTCATCATGGCCGTGTCACTGTGTTCATCATGGCCGTGTCACTGTGTTCATCATGCCGTGTCACTGTGTTCATCATGGCCGTGTCATTGTGTTCATCATGGCCGTGTCACTGTGTTCATCATGGCCGTGTCACTGTGTTCACGATGGCCGTGTCACTGTGTTCATCATGGCCGTGTCACTGTGTTCATCATGGCCGTGTCGTTGTGTTCACGATGGCCGTGTCACTGTGTTCACGATGGCCGTGTCACTGTGTTCATCATGCCGTGTCACTGTGTTCATCATGGCCGTGTCACTGTGTTCATCATGGCCGTGTCACTGTGTTCATCATGGCCGTGTCGCTGTGTTCATCATGGTCGTGTCATTGTGTTCACGATGGCCGTGTCACTGTGTTCATCATGGCCGTGTCATTGTGTTCATCATGGCCGTGTCACTGTGTTCATCATGGCCGTGTCATTGTGTTCACGATGGCCGTGTCACTGTGTTCATCATGGCCGTGTCACTGTGTTCATCATGGCCGTGTCACTGTGTTCACGATGGCCGTGTCACTGTGTTCATCATGGCCGTGTCACTGTGTTCATCATGGCCGTGTCACTGTGTTCATCATGGCCGT